TAACACTGACGCCATCCGACACTCAGGAAACCTTCAAACCTTGAATTGCTTTGCCTAGTACAAGAAACTGACTATTGATAGCTGCCTTTAGAAAGCTAGAATTGTCTTTATCAAACTCTTGAGCATATTTTTCATAATTCATATAAGTTATAATTTACTTTCACAATTCATATTTCATCATTGTTGGATATATCCCTTAGTATACTTCTTCCTTTTTTTTTTTTATAGATATTTTGCTTCCTTCTTCATTTTCAGTGTCGTTTGTCCTTGTTCTTTTGTTCTTTGTCCTAGCTAGCAACCTATTTCAATTATCATGGAGAACGACGGAAAAGAGAAAAATTAGGAGAAGAGTTAGACCATTGGAAAAGGAATAGGAGGAGAGAGATTGGTTGGATTTTGAGTTTACTTAATGGAAATGGTATAAACTAGAGTAGGTAATAAGGGATGTGTAGTTTATGAATAAGGTGTAAGCATGTTGGATAATGAATAAGGGGAGGGGGAAAACTAGAAGGATGGAAAAAAGAGAGGAAAAAAGCATAGTTCCAAATGGGAAGAGGCCTGGGACTGAATATTTTTTGATAAGTGTAGGTATGAAGTAGAGTAGAAAATGAAATGAGAAGAACTAAAAAAGGAAAAAGAAAAAAAAACATCGCTCAAAACGGGTGGTGGAGACCTAAAATGTTTAATATGTAATTCTGTCTTAAATATTTATGTGGATGTCAGCTTAAACTAATAGGAGGATGAAGTTTAAAGGGAATAATGTCGCATTTATATGTTCCTTGTTGGTTTCTGTTGTTTGGATTGTTGTTACATGTCATTTTATAATGTATTGTATTGTTTCATGAATACAACATTTGGATAGATTGTATCGTTTGCCGTCGTTTCATGATGTCATGCACCAACAATATGAAGAATAAACTTGCAACATTACAAAGAAAAAGTAGGATACATAGTAGAATTATTATGTTAAAAAGCAGGATAAAAGATAAAATATGATTATTTAATAATAAGGAAGGGAAAGATGAGAGAAGCAAGCGAGGAAACGACGCCACCATACCAAATCCGTCGTTCATAAAGTGGCACTTTTTGCCGTTACATAATGATGGATTTAATGATACGATACGATACAATAAAATTTAAGTAACAATCAAAACAAACATTATATTTAAAATAACAATACGATTCAATACAATAGGTAACAACCATCCAGACAAGCTTACGAATAGTGGTATATACAAATTACAAAAGCTGGATTACCCAAAAAAAAAAAAAAAACCAAAAGCAAAGGAAATAGTATAAGGTAAGTATGGTAACCATAATAATTGGTGTTTGTTCTTGTCTAGCAGAACTTTTAGTTACTGGGTGCTTTGATGAGAACCTATTCAATCAAAGTATATATCTTCACTAATGCAAGGCAATCTCATAGGTCAAGCTTTGTTAATTTTCTGTAAGCAAACTTTGAGACCTTGGAACAACAACAACGACGATCCAGTAAAATTCTATAAAGTGGGGTCTGAAGACGGTAGTGTGTATGCAGACCTTACCCCTACCCCGATGGGGCAGAGAGGCTGTTTTCAATAGATCATCGGCTCATAAAGACGAAAATAAAACAAGAAGAGACAATTCATCAGTATCGTCAACAGAAATCAAGGCCTTGGAACAACAGCTTTGAGGCCTTGGAACAAGAAGTATATTAGACCTAGTGTCTTTGGTTGTTTTTGAAAAATTAAAGTGTAGCTATTTTTGAGCCGAGGGTCTTTCGGAAACAACTTCTCTACTCTCACAAGGTAGGGGTAAGGTCTGCGTACACTTTACCCTCTCCAGACCCCACAATATGGGGTGAGGATTACACTGGGTATGTTATTGTTGTTGTTGTTGTAAAGTGTAGGCTGTCTGAAGCATTTTATTGCTTTCTTACCTTTCATGGAGGAATATGTATTTTACATGTCAAAGAAGCCAATTTGCTGATCTTATTAATCACTTTATGGTATGAAGTCTACATCTGACGTTACTGGTTTCTAATTGTGATGTTCAAAGGTCCAAAAACATTTTCACATTTTATTGTTAAAAATTTAGGTAATTTATTCAATAATATTTTTAAGAGTTATTAAAACACGCTCATATTACAATTATAATATAGGTATTTAAATAGGATGTTATTTTGCTGGTTGAATTTTTTTTTAATTTTCAAAGTCATTAAATATTTAATCTTAAGTAAAATGTTTTTTACTTTATTTTATATTTTAACTTATCTCAATATATAAAAATTATTTTTTTGAGAATTTGGGTATTTAATTCTTTTTAAATTCAAATTCAAAAAGAATTTAGAATGTCCAGATGGCGATATTATTTAATTTAACAATTTATTTAGTTAATTATTTAATTTTCTTTACCAAATACCATATTAGTTTTATGCTCCCACATCACTTCGGAACCATGTTTTGGAACTACCACGTTGATATTATTTAATTTAAAAAATTATTTAGTTAATTATTTACTTTTCTTCGCCAAATATCACATTAATATGAGTGTTTTGCCTTTCCTAGTCATATAGATAGAAGATTTTATCTATTGTAGTAAATAAAAGAGGCTAGTGGCATATTATCGCTTTGAGGGTAAGCATTTTTGTTTTTTTTTCTTCTTCTTTTCCAAACACATTGTTATATAATCTGCCAAATCCAAATATTTTTCGTAGGTGATAACATGTATACATGGGGGTCTTCGGGTATGGTCTTGTAAATACCAAGAGGCAAGGAGGCAAGTAAAACTCCTATTTTTTTCCTTTTTCTAACAAAATGCTATAATCTGATGGAGTTTAGGGGACCATTCATAATCTGATGGAAGTTAGGGGACCATATAATTTTATATTTGTCAATGGCAGGTTCCATGTTACCTTTTGGGAATTAAAAATTCTTATATTACCTTAATATCTTCTTTTGATCTAAAGCACTAGTAGTTTATATTATATTAAGCAAAAAATGAAAGCTTATGGTTTTCTAAATAATTAAAGTAACAATTGCAGTGTTGACGATTGTTGCAGGCTATGGACGTTGAGATGTTTCCAAGACAACTTTATCTTAAAAGTAACAAAGTTTGTAATTTTTTTTAATGATGATAGTTGAAATGGTACTAGGGAGAAGGTTTCCAAGAAACAACTCTGATATGCATGCTTAGTGATTGATGATTAAGAGCCTAAATAATGTTCCTTGTAGACAAAGTGTTAAATTGAGCGTATTGGCAGCCATGGACATTGTTGAAGCTCGTCTGTAAGAGAAGTAAAGAATGGAAGCTAAGAAGGAGAGAAGAAGAGTAAATGAGAGAGAGAGAGTTTTGGGAATTTTCTGTTCTATTTCTTCTAACAGTCCAAATGTACAATATCAATACATATATAAATTCACATAACTGACATTTACTACACTAACCATCTAACTATTTTACAAACTGATGACTCTTCTAGAAGAGTACTAACATAATTACATGGTGTACAACTATGTATTTCGACACTCCCCTTCAAGTTGTGAATGAAAAATATTTTGTATTCCCAACTTGGATAAAAGAACCATGTGTTGCTGATGTCCCAATGCTTTTGTTAGAATATCCGCAGGTTCACATTGAGTAGCAATATGGACCGTTCTGATGAATCCTTGCTGAATCTTCTCCCTAATAAAGTGGCAATCTATCTCTATATGTTTTGCCCTTTCATGATACATGAGATTTGCTGCAATTTGCAGTGCAACCTTGTTATCACAGTGTAGCTCCATAGGTAAAGATAGATTCACTTGTAGCTCTTTCAACAGTCCTTTCAACCACACTAGTTCAACTACTGTGCTTGCCATTCTCCTGTACTCTGCTTCTGCAGAACTTCTTGAAATGGTGTTCTGCTTCTTTGCCTTCCAAGAAATGAGTGAATTTCCCAGTCTTATACAGTACCCTGTCACTGACTTTCTTGACATAGGACATGAGGCCCAATCTGAGTCACAAAATGCATGTATCTGCTCTTCACTCTTGCTGGACATAAGTAATCCCAAACTTGGTTGTTTCTTAACATATCTCACTACATGTAGTGCTGCTTCATAGTGTGACCTGTTTGGTGCATGCGTGAATTGACTAAGGCATTGGACTGCATATGAAATGTCTGGTCTGGTGATTGTGAGATATATAGTAGTTTCCCTATGAGTCTCTGATAACTCCCCCCGTCTTCTAACTTCTCATCATGGTTGCCAGTGTTTATGCATTTATCAAACTCCACACTTGTGAGCTTCAATTTTGTTCCATAGGTGTGCCTTTTGGTTTTGATCCTGCTAAACCTGTTTCTGAAATCATCTCAAGTGCATATTTCCTTTGTGACATAAGTATCCCTTCCTTTGATCTAGCAAACTCAATTCCTAGGAAGTCTCTTAGTTCTCCTAAGTCCTTTAACATGAAATTCTGTTGAAGTGAACCTTTAGCCTGGTTGATCTCTTCTAAATCATTTCCTGTTACCAGGATGTCATCCACATATACAAGGACCAAAACAAACTTGTTGTTGACAAGTCTAGTGAACAGAGAATAGTCATGCTTGCTCTGTTGAAACCAGCAGTGATGAGGGCTTGTGTGAGCTTAAGATTCCACTGTCTTGAAGCTTGCTTCAACCCATAAAGGGATTTGAGTAGTCTACACACTTTGGACTCCCCTTGATTACCAAAGCCCTAGGGTAATTTCATGTAAAACTCCTCATCAAGATCCCCATTAAGGAATGCATTGTGCACATCCATTTTGGAAAATGGGCCAATCTTCAGTGCAGCAGTAGCTACAACAGCCCTAATTACGGTAACTTTAGCTACAGGGGAAAAGGTATCATGAAAGTCTAGTCCTTCTTGCTGTGTGTATCCCTTAGCAACAAGTCTAGCCTTGAATCTCTCCACTATCCCATCAACATTGTACTTAATTTTATACATCCACTTGCAACCAATTGGAACTTTCCCAGTAGGTAGATCCACAACTTCCCAAGTATGATTATCTTATAATGCCTTAATCTCAAGCTTCATGGCTTGAACCCATCTATCATCCTTGGATGCTTGAGTGAGAGTGGAAGGTTCAGTATTAGTAGAAAAGGAAGCAAGAAATGATTGATACTGTGGGTTCAAATGAGAATAGGAAACACAGTGATGAATAGGATATTGGAAACAGTTGGAGGTAGAAGGAAAGGGTGGATGGGCATAGTCTGTCAACCAAATGGGAGGCTTAATGGTTCTGCCTGATCTTCTGAGAGGGGCAACATTAGATGGAGAAATTGGTAAGGAAGAGGGAACAAAATTGGATGTATCAATAGGAACTGGTTGTGAAGCAGAAAAATCAATAGATTGATCAGGTGAAGAAGGTATAACAGGATGAGAAGAAGGATCAGATTGAGGTGTGAGATCAGGTTGGGAGATGAACGTGCAGGCAAATCATGATCAGGGAAGTCCAGGGATGGTGTACAACATTGATCTGGGGCTGCAAGAAATTTGCATTTAGGAAACTTGAAAGGAAAGATGTGTTCATGAAATGTGACATCTTTACTGATGAAAAATTTGCTAGCTTCAATATCATATAGTCTATAGCCCTTTTGTGTAGATGAATAACCCATAAAGATTGCAGGAATAGATTTAGGAGTAAACTTGTCACTAAAATTTGATTTTGTAGCATAGCAAAGGCATCCAAGGTTTCTCATATGGTCAAGCTTGGGTGACTGACCATGAATAACTCATTGGGTGATGACCCTTTAAGGTAGGGCTGGGCAGCCTATTTATGATGTATGTTGTTGTCAGAATGCAATCCCCCCAGAATTTTAATAGTATATGGGCTTGGAATCTTAATACTTTTCCTATCTCAAGTATATGTCTATGTTTTCTTTCTACCACCCCATTTTGCTGTGGGGTATGACTACAACTGCTTTGATGGACTATACCTTTGGACTTGAACAAATCAGAACATAAAGAATTGAAAAATTCATGTCCATTATCACATCTAAAGACTTTAATAGAAGCAGAGAATTGATTGTGTACTAATTGAAGGAAATCAAGTAAGACAACATAGACATCACTTTTCAGTCTCAAGAAAAATGTCCAGGTCATCTCGGAGTAATCATTAACAAGAGTAAGGAAGTATTTAAAACCATTGTAAGCAGGAACTCTATATGGACCCCAAACATCCATATGTACAAGACTAAATGGAGAATTTGATCTAGTGATACTAGTAGGAAATTGTAGTCTGACTTGTTTAGCTAATGGACATATAGAGAAAGTATGAGTTGTTGATCTAGACACAAGAACCTTTATTGAGGGTATTTTCTGTAACACAGCAACTGGAGCATGACCAAGCCTTTGATGCCACAAGTCATTAAAATTATGTTGGACTGAAGAAGCTATACGATTTGAAAAAGTAGTAATGGAAGGAGTAGCAGCATGTGTGAATGGATTAAGGATGTATAAGCCACTCCTGAGTCTACCAATCCCCTTCACCATGCCACTGAAGAGATCCTGAAACAGGCAGAAATCAGGATAGAAATTAACTGAACACTACAGTTCTCTTGTGTATTTAGAAATGGAGAGAAAGTTGTACTTAAAATCAGGCACATATAGTATATTTTGTATAGTTTGTGTAGGGAGAATAGAACAGGAACCAGTGTGAGTGATTTTAGTATTGTTTCCTTTTGCTAATGGCACATAGTTAGGTTGATTATTTTGGCATACCTTTAGGATTTACCAACAGGTTCAAGGATGAAGCCATGTGATTTGAGGCTCCAGAGTTAATAATCCAGTAACCTTGAGAAGTATTAGATATACCTTCCATGTTTGCTGTTTCAGTTGGTTCATGTTCCTTGCTCAGTAGCTTCAGGATCTGTTGGTATTGTTCAGCAGTGAACACTGGAACAGTTGGTGTAGCCATTTTCTTCAGATCTTCAAAATCCATTTCCCTTTTATCATTCATACTCACATTATGAGCTGTAAGCATCTGAATTTGGTTTTCAAAACCACTTCGTCTTCTGTTGTCAAATCTAGAATTGGATGGATATCCAACTAGTTTATAACAATTCTCTCTCTTATGCCCCTTCATGTGGCAGTAGTCACAATAAAGGTTATTGTTACGTTTAGGCCTGATGTTAGTTGCATTTGCTACAGCTAATGCACTACTGCTGCCTTCTACAGGTCCAGTCCCCAGAATACCACTTTGTGACATCAAAGTCCCACTCATCCTCTGAGTCTTTTCCTGTATGAGCATAGAATATGCTTGATCAAGTGTAGGAGTAGGGTTCATCATTATAATCTGACTCCTCTGAGGTGCATAGGTGTCATTCAGGCCCATCAGAAACTTCATTAGCTTCTGTTGGCGTAGGAACTCAACAAATAGCCTAGATCTCGCACAATCACAACTGGGATAGGGTATAATTGACTCAAACTCAGCCCACAAATCATTCAATTTTGAGTAGTATATTGATACATTGGATATACCCTGCGTTAGACTACTTATTTCTGTGTTCATATGATAGATTTTTGTTGCATTTACTTTATCAAAACGATCCTTGAAGGCTTCCAATACCTTTTGTGCATTTGATGAATACACTTTTCCGTTTCTCAGCTCCTGTGCCACAAAGCTCATTATCCATGACTGGACAATAGCGTTGCATCTCTCCCATTGATGCAATCTGAAGCGATCTGCTACGTAGGTCTCTCAAGCACACGATCCATCAATGAATCCGATTTTATTCTTCACAAGTAAAGACATCTTCATCGATCTATTCCACTCCGAGTAGTTCTCTGTTCCAATCAGTAATTGTGGCACTAGAGCCACCGGGCGTGTCTGACGGGTGTACATAGAGTGGATCGTTACAATCAAGTTGTTGAGAGCTTGCATGCGAGGTTCCAGTTACATTTTGATGTGTATCAATTGCCATTTTTTGGTATTAGAGAAGGATTTGCTATGGAGTTTATTAGAAGCTAGGGTTAACTGAGAAATTAGGGAAAAATGAATCTGAGAAGAGGAGAAATTAGATATGAGCTTCTATGCTACTACCAACATCGATCGTTGTGAGCCTTGGCTCTGATACCATGTTAAATTGAGCATATTGGAAGCCATGGACATTGTTGAAGTTCGTCTGTAAGAGAAGTAAAGAACGGAAGCTAAGAAGGAGAGGAAGAAGAGTAAATCAGAGAGAGAGAGTTTTGAGAATTTTCTGCTCTATTTCTTCTAACTGTTCAAATGTACAATATCAATACATATATAAATCCACATAACCGACATTTACTACACTAACCATCTAACTATTTCACTAATTGATGACTCTTCTAGAAGAGTACTAACATAATTACATGGTGTACAACTATGTATTTCAACACAAAACTCTTCATTCGTAACTCTATGCATATCTATTATCTCACTCTTTTCTCGGTATGGGAAAATAATTTTTTTTCCTCTATTCTAATTCATATATCACTTTGTTTTTGGAAATTTAAATATCTTAGTTTTGACCGTCTATTTGCATATAGCATTTTTAAATTTTTCCAAATAAAATTTACACATTTGGAAACTACGTAAAAAATATTATTAGTTACAATATTTAATAATTCAAAATATTTAAAATATATATGATAAAATTATATTTAAATAACAATTCGTTTGACTCTCGAAATTCACTCACCTTTACATAGACTTGGTCCATCCTCCATTTTAAATATGCTTAGTTTTTAGTTGAAAAAAAATACACCTTCACATAAATTAGAATGAAGGAAATAGTACTTACAAATTGTTTGTATCTTTTTATTTTTTAGCTTCCATTTGGGCAGTATTTTTACTCCTTTTCCTTTTCCTTTTCCTTTTCCGTGGATTATCTTAAAGGATGTAGAGTCTTTTACATTTAATTTTTTATCCATAGTTTTCATTTCAATGTCCTCTTCTTTGTCCCCTTTTCTTTGGCTCCTGTGGGTATTGGGAAACCCAACTACACTGGCGAGTAAAACTGCTTCACCTCTTCAGGGAAGTAGCAAAAAGCTTAGACTTTCACAATTATAACTTCTTTTTTTTTTTTTTTTTTTTTTTTTATATACTCATATGATATTTTAAATAATTACTATTAAATTAATTTAAATTTGTGTGTTCTCCAATTTTTCCAAGAAAATGTGTGCAAATGGCTCAAATATGAAATAAGAACCTGTAGATAGCGGGTTTTAGGGTTTAAAATCGTTTTTCAAACTTACTAGGTCTCCTGTTTCCACCAAGCAATCGAATTTATTTAATTTCTAACTGTTTAAGTACAACATGAATCAAAAAATTTAATTAACGAGGCTACACATTAAGAAGTTAATTCGAAATATATGAATTAAGCATACCATAACAAATTATAAATTATTCTACTAAATATTCGTAGTCGTACTCTGCTAGTCAATTTTATAATTCTTCCCGTAAACGTTATATCTAACTCTTCATGTTAAAATTTAGATACTAATCAATCAAATTAAATTAAATTACTTAAATTTATTGATTAATTTTTTAAGGCCTCCGCTTAACTTATTTCATGTGATAGAAATAATTATCGGGTTTATACAGAAAAACTTATAAGTTTTCATAAAGGTGTATCATCAATCTTTACACCGAGATATGAATTTCATCACCTAACTATTATTTTGCCAATGTGTATCTTAATCATGCAATTTATTAGCCATATTGACTAATACAATAGATCAAAACAATAAAAAAATACGCCTATTTAATAATAGTTGCATCAAGGTTAAGAGTATAAGACATTTAATGGACTAAAAATTTATTTTAGTAAGCCAATACAAATATTTATCTCTATTTGGTCTGTCTAGTACATACTAAATGCACTAGAATTCCATTTTGATTTCTAGAATCTCATTCCCCTATTTGAGAATTTTTAGTAGGTTCATTTGATATTTATAACTTACGGGTATGGGTAAGTTCAGGAATAATTTGAAACGCTTAGTTCCTAACTAGAACCATTAAGTTAAGAGAGTTGACCAAAGTCAATATTCTATTTAAACGAGCTCGGATTCGTGATTTGAAGGTATCGATGGGTTTGCATGCTGATTCTGTACTTGTATGTATGTTCAATTTAGCACCCGAGGGGCTCGAATGCGATTCAGAAGTAGTTTGTTTAAGTTGAAATTTGAAGAATTTTAAGATAATTTATAGTTTGGTTTGGACCATTGATTCTTAGTTGTAAAATTTACGTATACATTTGGAGCACTTAGACAAGTTTGTAAAAGGTATATGGACTAGGCGGAATGGCTTGGAGGATCCAAGGGGCTCAGGGACTAAAAGAATTTTTCACTACTAATCTGTTTCACTAAAAATAATATTGTCTTGTGGTGGTGGGTGGGGTGGGGGGGGGGGGGGGGGATCATTTACTTTTTTTCAGATCATATTTGTTATATATGATTTTCTTGTTCTCTGTAATAACTGAAACGTGGATTGTGTGAATTTCTTGTAGCTATCATTATTATTTTAAATTGGTGTTTCCAGAGTAGCTAAAATGTGCTAAGCATAGAGTGATTGATAATAGTTATCGTTAAGGAATTTATATAAGATGAACAAAATCACTAGGATATGAAAAAAATAATATGAAATGGATACTCAATTATACACAAATGAGCAAATTAAGCACGTATCCATGAATATAACACATTGGATAAACAAATAAGGATAAAGTTGTCTATGGGCCGCAAAACCCGTTGCCGTAAGGGATAGTTTTCCTAAGGGAAATTACCAGCCATGTCCATTTATAAGTAGCTCATTACAAAAATTGGCCAATTGATAAAATATTATTAATATTAGCCAAATTAGCCAATTAGCTATTTGTAGCAAAAAAATATCAATTTTTTGTTTTGTTTTGAGTGGGTGTTATTAGAATAGATTGGGCACAACTTAAGGAGCTTGAATCTCATTTTTGGGATGATTTGGTGAAGTTTTGAGGTGGTTTGAATTGAAAATTCGAAGTAAAAGCTGAACATGAAAAAAAATTATATGTGTATCACATATGTATCATATTTGTATCAATTATGTATCACGTATATATTCATGTATACCTGTGTGTGAGATACATGTGTGATACGTGCTTGATACATGTGTCGCAGAAGACTTTTTTGAACTCGATTTAACTAAGAATTTTGATACAAAACTAGTCCAAATCACCTCCAATCTTCCTCAAATTTTGTATATTGACTTATCTATATATTTTCAATGAATTTCAACTATACCCATTGAAAAAGTTCCTGTTTTGTTTAGATTTTTGGAATATTGTATAGATTTTTATATTTCATCACCTTATTTGCTACCCCGTCCATGAAATTTCCTTTCCGTCTTGTATCTAATGTTGTTAATCACGCTTAAAAATATGGAAGGTGATTTTTGCATGTGATTCTTTGATAGAAAGAACCCTATTATTTGGGTTTTTAATTTTTGTTGGCTAGTTTTGGTAAGTCTATGATTAATGGCTAGAGGTTGGTAAGTTGAGATTTATATGGGACATTTGTGTAAGTTTCCCTTTTCCTAATTGTTGGGCCAATACTAGTGATTGCCCCACCTATGGTCTATACAACATGACCTAAATCTTCCTAAGAATAGTGTTTTTCTGAAACGTTTTTGTCATGACTCAAATTCACCAACATATCGTGATGGCGCCTAACGCACTTGCTAGGCAAGCCAAACAAAATAAAAGCAGAATAAGATAACAGGAATAACGAGAATAATACAAGTCTAAAGCCAAAAACATAAAAATAACAGCATTAGTACATAACAATCCCCCAGAACTGGTAAATACAGAGTCATGAGCTCAAAAATGAAAGTGCAAATCTATAATACAAAATAAATACTGTTTGAATGAAAGCAACAGTACATAAATAAAAAGAGACGACAAAGGATACAGATAAAATGCAGCTCTACCTCGTCTCTCTGCATATCCTCAGCAACTAGTCACAGCTACCCATGACTTGATCCAACACCTGGATCTGCACAATTAAGTACGGAGTATAGTATGAGTACAACCGACCCTATGTATCACTGAAATTAGGTATTCAAATTATGTACTCAGTAAGTATCACAACCAACCTCAGCGAGGTAATAGAGGCAAGATTTATTAATGATACTCGCTAATAACCTGTACAATTCATAAACCTCACAAGTACACAACAAATAATAATACCAAGTCATTATTTACAGATAAAGCCTCCACAGTGCCCAAAGATAATGTAGCATGCTCTGCTTCAGTCAACAATCCAGCATATAGAGAAGATATGCAAAATAAGGCATGTATACATTCCTGATCTAACATATACAGAAGATATGCGAATAGAATATGTATACAACCAAGGAAATTGCAAGTAGAGAAGAGATACAAAACCACAACACACTCTGGCGAGTTTTCCTCTTACCGCGTGTACACCATCAAGAGAGAAACATGAGAGGGTGACCCTAGGGGGATGAATCCTTATCCACACGCTGCCAGGACAACTCACGTGCTAACATAACTCAGATCTGCACGGAAAACTCACGTGCTATCAACCCAGTCCATATCACACAGAAAATAGATATACTAGAATACATGTACATGAACAGCGAATATCAATTTACATACTCATTGACTG